AAGACTTCAAAGCAAGTAATATTATGTAGGCATATCATTTTATTGAAACACTTTTAAAATTCAAAGGAATTTTGGTAAAACAAAATCCAGCTTTTTCTGTTTCCAACCCCCCCCCCCCCAAAAAAAAACAAAGAAAAAAAACAAGACCTCCAAAGCCAACAGACACTGATGGGATTTCAAAACACTGTAGTCTGTTTTGGTTCTTTAGCATTGATGAAATTATTTGTTATTGGTATTGATGAAATTATTACTGTGTATAAGCCTACCACAGAGGTAACGATACATGCAGATATACACGGAAACATACATGTAGATGTACCGTACCTTATCTGCCACTCGGGAATTACAGTTATCAACCTTAAATCAACCTTACAAACACTAAATGCCCGTTTGGATTTCAGAACAGCATTACCGATGCCATCTTACATTTGGCACACATTAAAACATACATGTACATTAAAACCCTCCTGCCGTATGAACAGTCACAGACGGTCAAAAATTCGATCCTCTTCCCCTGCCGTGCCGTTATAAACAGGCTAGTCTCCAACAGTTAGATCACATTTCCAGGATTTCACTGTGACTAGTCAAATTCCATCAACGTACAAAAGCGGCTAACTGCACAGCTGGCTTGTCAATCACCTATACTGACAAGGCAAAGCTCTATCAAGTTAGAGCCAGTCAATCCTGGTTTATGTAGGCCGTGAGCTCCTAACTGTTCAAAACAGGCACTTGGTTGATTTTGACTGCTGGGATAGCTGTGTTGAATTTGACAGCCAGAGAAAGAGGGTCGAGAAGAAAAAAAAGAACATTCAGACAATTGTTGCATGAGTAGGCCTAAAACAAATGTTTTCACATGTAAACCCAGCGTGATGCCATTTTGTTTCAGGTCAATCAATATACAGCTTCTGAAAGTTAATGTATAACAGGCCTCCACGAGTGAATTACAAGAAACAAAAAAAAATGTCCTGAAGAATTCTATTTCAATAAAAGCTTTGGCTAGTCAATACATCTTATATACACATTTCGATCACAGATATAGAATGAAATAAAAATTATCATTTACATTTTGACAACTCCATGAGCCAATAATAAGCCACAGCATTCAAATAGCGATTGACATCTTTGAATCAAACTTTGTACAACACTGACAGAAAATGACATTCATTAGGCTACAACAGGATCATTTACGATGCTCACGTGCAGTATTTACATGCAGGTGATACAATACTTTCACGGGAAATGTCTCAGTGCTGGCAAGCATTAACGTGTGATGCTTGACGCAAACACAGAGGCCAAGCAAATTGCACATCACTTACCATTGGTCCAAAACTGAATTTGAGTTTTTGTTCACCTATTTTGCAACCAGTCCTGTGAAAAAAACACCGCGGCGGTGGAGTTCTCTCAAGAAATCCAGTCTTTGCAATATTGGCGGCGCTACCCAGGAAATTCCGGGCATCACGCGTGTGCATTAGCTTGAATACAGCGTGCATGAGTTATGCTCGGAGTTCCCTGGGTAAGGTTGCCAATATTGCCAAGGCTTGATTGGATTCATCTTGTTGATGTAGCGACCTCGCTCTAAAATAACAAATTCAGTATTGAACCAAGACTACACATCACTAATATAATTCAGGGCTCCATTTCACAGTGTGGCAGCATGATAATACATGTATTGCTTAACACATCTTTCAATGTACAACTGTATCGATATATGTGCCGAACACAAATGAATCAGTCATACCAGCTAGAATATATACATGATTAGTTAATGAAGTTTAATATTGTGTGTTGCAAGCATGTATTAAGCCCCATATATGTGCAGGTATGTGCAGCCTACATGTACATCACCTACATTAAGTCACAAAAAACAAAAACAAAAAAAACCAAACATATTTTGTGCAACTTTCTGCTCCTCTTAAATGAATGAAAACTGTTTGACATCCCTTTTTGGTTAATTTCATTGAAAAGGGCGCTGTAACTGTGATGTCATTTCAGGAAGACACTGTTCAATTTAGGGGTTTTCTGTTCAAATTGTGACCCCAAAACTTGCTCATTGAAATCATTTGTGAGAAAAGTTTGCTCATTGGCATACTGCCGTGTACTGACACAACAAATCACCAAAGAAAAGAAACTTCACGACAGCAAAATATCCAAAATTCTGGCAACTTTTGGTGCTGAAATACCTATAATATTGAGGCTTCTACCTGAAATGACACAGTTGCTCATGAAAATGGAAATGTCCATTAGCATAAAACCAAACAAAAACACCAAAATACCCTACAAAATGGCGAACATTGAAAAATGGGACAGAAACGTGTATTTTCAAGCATCTCATTAATAAAATTACGTTACATCTCCTCGCCAACACTATGCACAACGGGACATTTCTAGTGGCACTAATTATCAGTGTGGAATCCGAGTCCCTGCAAGTCCCTGCAATGCAAGTCCATCACAAGTCCTTCGGTCTCAAGTCACTAGCTATTCACATTAACCGTTACAAAAGCATTCCCTTGACCTTGTTTATCCTGTTACTTGTGCCTGGCTTTATAAACGGACGTGTGAAAGGACTTGTGATGGACTCAGATGCAACACTGCTAATCACGAAAAACCGCCCCAAGTTTAACAACATTCCAATTCTAGGCGACAAATCATTTACAAACATGTATTCATTGATGACAAGTTTAAACTACATATGTACAGAAATTTTTTTTTAATACATATGCAAATGCATTTCTTAATCGGTGCGATCCCGCGACTTCAGCAAGACAGCTTTATACACGTTTTCTATAATTTAATACTGGTTGCAGCATTGTACCAAACAAAAATAAAAACGAATTCGTAAGATCAACAAATCAGTTGTAATAATCCATTCGCTACTTCAACAAGGCAGGCTGTCATTAGGCGTGATACATAGGATTTTGGAGTGTGCCTTTACACACCAACATAATGAGAACAATGTAAAATTATGGAATTATGCATTTTAATATAAGTGTGCATGTTATAATGCCTGTTACACGTTTGTTTCCTGGCGTTAAAAGAGAAATAAATATTTGTAATAATAAAGTCACAAATCAATTAATAAGTAAAAAAAAATGTTTAACATCACCAAAGGTGGAAAGTATATAATTGGATATGATTTTGACCAACTGCAATTGTACTGCTCGAGTGTACATCTTTATGTTAAAGACTATAGATTGTATGATACCATTTTGGTTGGAACATGGAAACCTCTTTAAAAAAACCCACCAAATACACGTAAAAAAAGAAATCTCAAAACATGAAACATGATATGAAGATGATAAAAGAAATAAACATGATCTTGAATAAACTTTGTAGATTATAGCCTACATTCCCATATTTATATTGATAAACATCATGTTTGTTGGAAAATTTAAAAAAAAATGAAATAAAATGAAACAACACTTAGAAAACACATGTACATGTAAAACTAGCAATCAAATTGACGAAAATATACTTAATGAATATCTAACGTCCAAGTCAAGTTTAATCAGAACCAGCTGAAATTCTGCAACCAATTTTAGAATTTTACACACAGCACCTTTGACCAAGGGTGTCCACGGCACTCGGGAGGGGCTGCTACGGCACGTCTGCTCTCAGTAGCTAGCCGGGGGGGATTGCTACGGGCTAGAGATTTTAGCAGGAAACTTTTGATGCCGATAGAAGCAAAATCGGGATGGGTAAAAGAGAAAAAAAGGGAAGAAAATTCGTCTTTGCAACGGGTCAACAAAACCACATAGGGCCTTCAATAAGTTGCACTGCAGGACCATATCTGATGGTGTAGCATTTGTACACAAACATATTTCACGTTTATGACACTCGTGAAAGTTGCAGTTTTCGCAATAAAGCTATAGATATCAATGTACACACTTGTATCTAGCTGCATTGACATGATTGATGCACCGATGCGACAGTATTATCGTGCGGACCTTTATGAAAAAAGTCTGAACAGCAACTTCCAAGATTAACAGGTACGTGGGTACCCGTTTTTTTGTTTTTTTTTTCAATCAAGAGCGCAGTTCCTGTACTACCCATAAATGCACACCCCTATGATGAACTGATTGTGCACGCATACTGAAATTTGTATCCTTGTGATGACATTTCTTTGTTCTCGTGTACTAAAGTTTTCGAGGTTTGAAAGTACAGTTTTGAAACGCTCTTATTTTAACCAGAATTAATTTCCTTAGCTGAAACTCGGACTTAATATCCCTTTTCTAAAACTCTACCATTTGCCACAAATCAACATACCTTGGAAATGCCTAGTTTTTGAGTAAAATCCATTTCCTGAAAATCTTGTGGAGACGTATTCATTTACAGAAATTGCCCTGTGGAGACGTATACAATCTTTTGTTTCCTATTGTGTGCATGTCTCCAGAGGGCACGGTGTATCAGATCGGTTGGCACAACACAGCTGACACATTTACGTCCCAGTATGGGATGCTTAGGATGCTTGCTAAAGGCTATACCCATCATGCCCATAGCAGTTCATGATGATAAACAAGTAGAAATAAAAAAAAAACACATTAAAGTTTTCAGACCTATCAAAGCACTATACAAATCCCCTAAACTGTTTGCAAGACAGTGTGCTTCTGAAAATTCCTTGTTTTAGGAAAAAAAGCAAGGGGTCTGCAATGCATGCCACAAGAAAATAAAAAGCAATGGTGAATGTACTCTAGTTGTAATTTAAAAGTGCATCACTGAAAGTCAAACCATTCTTAATTTAAAAAAATAGACCAAATTTGTAAAAAAACAAAAACAAACAAACATGCAAAGAAAATCAAACAAATTATTCATTTTCACTGGATAGGCGGTTTACCTCCCCTGTGTTTTCAAAATTGATACCTGCCTTTGAACACCACTTGGTCAACTTCTAATACTTGTATACTGCATCTTAGCTAACTAAATGGCACATCATAAACTTCATATGATCTACCATAAACTGTGTTCTATTTAATCCACGTACACAAACCATATTCAGATATTCATCTCAACACTGAGATTCAATACTGATGCATGATGCAGTTTCTTGAGCCAACTAACCAAATTTAACAAGTTTGGTGTGTTGTAAACTATCTCAAGTTTCTTTCGGTTAAGTTCATTAAAACCCTAATGCCTATGCATTTTTGTTAGGATGTAACCTCAATCCTGCTAAATCCTCCAATTGCTTCCATGTAAACAATGCATACAGCCTCAATCCTGCAAAATCCTCTGTTATTTCTGGAATGTGTCCTTGGAGGGGCGACCACTGCCTCAATCCTGCAAAATCCTATAGCAATCACCAGCAATACGTTGAGGCAGAGCCAGTGACATCCTGGAGCAGTGCGGAGGATTTCAAGTCAAATCCAGGCCAACATTTATGCGCGGCTGAGCATGAACAACACAAGGTCCGGCCCAAGACCTTGACACAGTGCATCCTCTTAAATCAGCCACACCTCTTTGCCATGCAACCTCAATCCTGCATAATCCTCCATTTTGCAAAGAGGATTTTGGAGGATGTGGGAAGGTTAGGGTTAAGTTTATTTTTTTGGCAAACCCATGTATAACCAGCATTTCATTTTCTGTCATCCAATGTCTTTATGTACTCGATGGCCCCACAGAACTGAATCCACCAGTACTGTTCCTCCCCGTCGCTCTCTCTCAGCTGCTCCCCTTCAAAGTAGAAGCTGTTGACATACTGCACGGTGGACAGGAGACCGGGCGGGTTGGCTTTGATGAGGACGTACATGAGCACCGGTGAGAAGTCGTCGGCGCCCACCGCCGAGTTCTCATTGGCCAGACTGAGGAGGTTCATGATGACCTTGCAACAGCGGTAGACGCAGCCCATCTTGTCTTTGGGAGTCTGGATTGAGATAACAATCAGGACTTACTGATTCATCACTCTTGTCAGGTAAGGCGGACAGGCTAAATACCCCCTGTTCACTTACCGGGAGCCGCTTTCAATTGAGCCCCTCTTTTATCGGCTCCCGCTTGAAAAGAAAGCGGGTGACCTGTTTTCTACAAACCTTCCCACGGTTGGCACTCCCGGCTCCCGCTACAAATAACCATTTTTATAACAATGAATCCTGCGGTTTCATACCCATCAGTGGCGGCTTCTACTCACCGACTGCAAAGACCTGGTGCATTGCTAATCCTCTGATCTTTTGTCTGCCCTAAACATACAAGCCCCACTGCAAACCGTCACCATGCACGGCTGTACCGTGTGCGTTCATGCGTGGACCGTCTCCCGCTTTGGCCTGAAGGGTCCCACACTTCCTCAATAACAATACCGTCCCACGGTAAATGAACAGGGGGTATTTAGCCCGCCCGCCTCAGCAACAGGAGGCTTTACATAGCAATAAGGCCACAAGGCCTGCTAATCCTCCCCTTCCACAATGCAATATCATTCATAAGATGGAATTTGCGTCAGGGTGATGTACAAATTCACTATTGGGTTTTGTCTTTCACCGACTTATTTTTTATAAACACTGTATTATCAATGTTGCTTGTGAGTGATTGTGAAAAAAAAAGTCACCCCAAGGCAAATTCCATTTTATGAATAGTTTCATTGCGGTACCCGCTACGATATCTGATTCGAACCAGCCAGCCGACCCGGGCAAGCTGGTGGTCGAATGGTAAGACGTCTGCACTAGTAAGCAGGAGGTTAATTGTGGGAAATCATGACAACACAATTGGGTTGAAAAAAGTGGTCACGATGCGAGTAAAATGATTTTTTTCTCTGGTTTTTCTTTGTATAACTACAGAAATACAAAGGAATGTCCACAGTACATGTATGTGTGGAAGGCAAGTGTGTGTGGGCGGCCCATCACCGCATTATGGGACGTTTTTTTATTGTTAAGCAAATTAGGACCGAGTTGTGGGGACTTTCTGCTGTCCCCGCAGCGTTTTCGCTCCCCACAGTACCATCGGACAACTCCTGTGCAGTCCCCACAACTACGGATCGAGTATGTGTGTACATGTATGGCTTTACGATAGAGGATAGACAAACTTAGCGAGAACATTGCGAGCGTTGGATCTTTTGTTGGAAACGGTCCACGATCATACGGTCATGTGCTTACTCTATGGGAAAGTATTATACAGGTTGGACAAAAAAAACCCGAAACCGAGATATTATTGCTAATTGGAACAGAAGTAGGGCACACGTAAATCAAAGGAAGATATCCTCTGTTAGGGTTAAATCTCCTCTTTAAAATGACACCCTGATCATGTTATTACATTCACGGTTGACTGAGCAGTGACCAATTTTATACAAGGGTCTATTCAGAGGCTTGCGCCACTTTTCAATTGTGGTTTTTGTGGTGTAATTTGTCACGGAGTGAAAGGCTATGGTTGCCAATCAAGGCAGGTGTGGAAAAAAGTGATTTCAACATGAAAAGTGGCGCAATTCTCTAAATAGACCCTTTCATAAAATTGTTCACTGCTCAGTCAACCCTGAATGTAAGGACATGAACAGGGTGTAATTTTAAATAGGAGATTCAACCCTAACAGAGGATATCTCCCTTTGATTCACATGTGCCCTACTTCTGTTCCAATTAGCAATAATATCTCGGTTTCGGTTTTTTGATCCACCCTGTATTACAGGGTCAAAGGAAAACACAAAGCAATGCCCTCGGGCGTATAGAAATTCACGACTGTGTGGTCATTTGTGTGTGCACACGGTACCTCCCTCCAAAAGAGCTCTACGAAGCAGTAAAAAAAACCCGCCATTTTAATGTTTATGCACGGCATCTATTGACAGAAAGAGGCAATATTTTTCCTAATTATTATTAACAGTTCCTGAAACACAAAGAAAGCCCTATCAATCGCACCTTGTACACGTTGATGTTGAGGATCTCAGCCTGTGCGGCAGGCCAGGGGGCCTCCCTCCCATACTTCTCTGGGATCTGCAGAGCCTTGTGATTGACTGTTATCACTCTGGACAGCCTGTAGATGTGAGCTTGTAGAACCCTGAAACATGAACAGCACAGAATTAAGTGGAATGTGAAACGCATCTCCCCAACATCTAACAGTGAAACTGTTGTCTTTTGATCCGTGTCTTTTGGCAGTTTCTCCTGTTCTTACGAGAGTACATGATGAATATTATGACTAAAGATGGAAATATCCAAGTGGAAAACTGATCTTTTTCATGGGTTAAAGATACAGTCCATCATTTGTAATTTGTGCATTTTGTTCGTTTGAAGCAACAAAAGTGTTCAAAATCTAATGAAGGATACTGAACAACTAACCTGATGTACATGTAGTTTCAGCTCAGCTTCAGCTGTATATTTCGAGAAAAACAGCATTCTGGGATCTCAATTTCAAATCAAAAGTTGCTGAATCATGTTTTGAATTGTTTTGAATTGCAGCTATAGGCGATGTCGCGCACTGATCTGACGAATTATAGCAACCGCGCGCGCCTGTGCGTCGTGCCAATGCTTGCGCGCGTTGCGTCGAATAACAAAACGAACTACTAATTTAAATTTTCCTACGGTGCGTCTTAAGACGCATCGTTGGAAAGGCCTTCTTTCGTTGATTACTTCAAAATGATAGCTTGCCAGAAAGATTAATTTCACAGGGAGTTTAGTCCCCTTACTATCTTTCAACCAAGTATGTTTTTCAACAATAATACTCCAGTTACTTTTTCGGATGGCTGCAAATGATGGACTATAGCTTTAAGTTCAGCCGTGTTAAGAACAAGGATTAAGATGCTGGACGGGGGTAGAGAATCCAACATATCTACAGCCAACCCAAGTACAAACTGATGTATGTGAGAACAGTATACCTGTTCTTGTTAACCCATGTCTGATTCAACCTAGCCTTGAATGCAAGGCTGTCCTGTGTTTGTGCTGTATCAGCATAAGCGCATCGCTGGCCATAGCTAAGGCCTGCAGTGCTAAAGGTATGCATACAACGTACTGTACATGTCAACGCACTGCCCCCATGTGGGTGTGAGTGGATACACAAATTATCCGGCTGTGAAAAATGTATGTTTCTTAACGACCAATCACACCACAGATCGAACATTGTTGCTTTTGTAACCCAACGCCGGCATGGGCGCGACACGACCCACGCCATGTATTTAAACAGCATGGCGTGTCCAATCTAGGGCCAATCAGAAGTCCACACAGTGAATGTAATGCTTGTACATACCGGTACACGCATACTGAAATTTGTATTGGAGACATTTCTTTGTTCTCGTGTAGTACAGTTTTCGAGTTTGAAAGTGAAGTTTCAAAATGCTCTTATTTTAACCAGAATTAATTTCCTTAGCTGAGATTCGGACTTGACATCCCTTTTCTAAAACTCTTCCGTTTGCGACAGATCAACCCACCTTGGAAATTCCTAGTTTTTGAGTAAAATCCATATATCTATTTCGTGAAAATCTTGTGGAGACGTATTCATCTATAGAAATTGCCCTTTGGAGACGTACACAATCTTTTGTTCCCTATTGTGTGCACGTCTCCAGAGGGCACGGTGTATCAGATCACACAGACATACACACAGAAGGAATACGCTATCGCAATATCCCCCTCCGGCTTACAGCCAGGGGGATACAAAGTGAAGAATGGATTGATTTTTTCTTTCCATTTTTGAGTACCCCTTACCCCAAGGTTGTTGTATGGCTGGTTTGATTCAGCTTGATCAAATACTTTTGAAGCAGTGACAGGTCAAAGTAGCCTCATGGTATATAAATGTAACGTGAGTGACGTTGGAATTACCCATTAGCGTAACTGCAAAACCCGGAAGTTACAATGTTCATTGCAATCAAGGATGTGCTCCGGAGCATGGGCTGTGACTCCACATATAGGGCAGTGCTGCGTGTGCATGTACAGCGTGTGTCAATAAAAACGCAGGATTAGAAACAAAAATATTAAGAATATAAACCACCCCTATTCATCATAATGTTAACCCTCTTTTCAAAGTACCTTTCCTTCTTCTCACTATGCTTGTTATCCCATCTCATTTGGACAATCCTGTCCAGAGATAGAGTACATTGAAGAAGGGTTATAAATTCCAAGCTGGTCTGATTTGTGAAATCACACATACCTAATGAAAGGTTTGAATTCAGTACAGGTGAAAGTATTTGTGGATCACAAAGAAGGACATGTGTGGCAGGACTAGGCTTACATAATCCTTTAGTCCACAATCAATGTTATTAGTCAATAATTCATGATGCTTTGAAACAATGATAGTCCAGTTATTTAATTTAAGTGATACTTATCATCCGTTGTTTCAAAGAAAGTTTTGTTCTGGTTTAACTGTCTTCAATGCATACCTGCATTGTACATAACTGGTCGTTGTGTTAAGGTCATTGAATCAGACCAACCCGCTTCAGAAGGGCTTCACAAAACTTGTCATAACTTTTGAACCAAAAGTCCAAATTCCACCACACAAAAATCTTGTCAAAGATGAAATTATGGACAATCAAATCCTTATCAAATTAGGCACACCAGTAACACACGCTGTACATTACAGTTAAATACTAAATGCTGTTAAATCTGCATTACCTGTCCCTGGCGACGTCAGCTTCCTCGTTGGGGTACAAGGCAAGCTTGTAGATACGGCTCATGATGGCACGCTCTGTGGCTACTTCAGCATCAATCATCTGGGTTTCACTGGCAGCTGATCAAACAAGAACAAAGTTTATATTTCGAAGAAATTTCTTCAAAAGAAGCATTTTAATTTGCTATTACATAAAATGTCCATGTCTTGTATCATTTCTTATAATGATCAAATTTAATCATAGATTGTTGACTTCATCTCAAGCTCTTGTAATTATCTTACGATTCAAATGAACATGAGCAGTCAACATACTAGCCTATGTAATAGGGAATGCCGTGGTCTATTATGCGCGAACAGATTGGCTGATTAATTAGGCAAGACCCCGCCTCTTGACTTCCTAGATTTTGACCAATCAGCAGGCGCTTTCTATAGGTCTATCGGGTCTTCGGTCATTCACCCGTTGTGCGTCATACATCATAGACATGGATTTAAAAAAAAATGTCACGGCGCGCGGCGCTCGGTATCATGTTATGCGAATGGGCTCCCAGCTGTTGTATTACAAAACAGTGCATTCGAATTGACCAATCACGGCGCGCGGCGCTCGGTATCATGTTACCATATGCGCTCCCGGCTGTTGTTGTATTACAAAACGTTGCATTCGAATTGACCAATCACAGCGTTAGTCCTGATTTTGGGATGAAATGACGTCACGATTTAGTAAAGTCGACTCCGATTGGCTTGCATAAATCTGCATGCTTTGACATATCAGACGTTAGACAGGAGATGGCTCCGTGGATAACGGGTGATACTCAGACTATCAACATACGGTAAATTGGGCAAAATTGAGCCAAGTGTTGATCTGATAGGCTGTACCCATGAGACATCTAAAAAAACGTAGACCTGAAATTTGCCCAAATTTTTTGGCCCCAAAACGATGCGTCTTACAGCCGCTTTGTTACATGAATGCTCATCGTGGGTGCATTAATGCATGTTATTTACGATCACAAACAGCATTCGCGTAACATGTCGGTTATAGGACGCAGCATTTTGTTACCAGAAAAACACAGTTTACAGCACAGAGATTGCAGGTCCAGAATTTTTTTTTAAGATACTCTAAGGCCTACATCAAACGTCGTGCTTCTGCCGTGTCGAATGTAATTCATTTTCACCTGTGGCAAAAGCGCGACAGAATTTTAGATTGGTGTCAAACGTCGAATTTAAATCACAGAGCAGTCGCCTTTAATTACCAGACAAAATGGCGGAGACAGGAAAAAAGAGGCTTAACTTTACGATTTTTAATAGTACCGGTATCAAAGCTGCCGGAAAGAGGAAACTCATGTTGCATAAACAGTTTATTGAGGAGGAGATCAGTTACATTGTGTACGTTCTTCTTTCACTTCTTTTATCACTTTCTCGACTCTCTATACTGTCAAACATGCCAAACATGCATGGCATGTGCTTGTTACTGTCTCGCCGCCATTTTGGATTGTTTCTGTCTTGTCTATTTGTTTGGAAACGCATGCGCATTCCAAAATCGCCTAGCCCAGGTTGGAATTCAATTTGATAGGACGCGGCAAGAGCACGACGTTTGACACCATGCCGTGTAACTGCCGTGTAGCACGACAGAGCCTGTCGTGCTACATGGCAGAATTGAACTTAGTAAAACAATTGGTGTCAAACATCCTGCTAAACTGCCGTATTTAATAGAAAGTTTTGTCAGTATTTGAGTTCGACACGGCAGAAGCACGACGTTTGACGCAGGCCTAATAGACAAAGGATTCTTATTTTGTTTTACATACCTTCCCATATAGGGTCGTCCATTATCCAGTTGTTCAGAGTCCTCAGAAAAAATTTGACAAGTTGTGTCTGGGGATAAATGAAGTAAAAATCCAACATGGATTACACTGTGCATGAACTTATCCTGAACTCCCTAAAGCAAACTCCTTTAAAATCCATCAGTTTGCAGGAAACCGAGGACAAATTCACTGTGCTTCTATTTTCAATGTGCATCCAGTCCAATGTCAGGTAATAGAGGCTGGGCTGAACCTTCCTCAATCCTGCAAAAGTCCTTTAACACCCCGAGATGGATCTACATAAGTGAGCGGTTATGAGCAAGGTCTTCATTTTAATCCTCACCCTGCCAGTTGCAATACAGTGCATCAGGTGTTGAAGTCTGTGAGACCTTGCTGCATGGGGCCGTAACACCAGTGCATAAGGGGCCAATTCTGAGACAAAGGAAGCTAGTCCCATTGAACAATGCCACAGTTGTATCACGCTGCAGTTGGTGACCACAGACTCTGAGGCAGTATTTGGTCTTGACATTTTTGACCTGATGGATCTTGCTACACTGAGCAGGCTTGTAATTTTGAAACGTGTTGCATGTGTTGTGTTCAGCTAGGTTTCTACAGGCATGCAACTTGGATGAAACAAAAAACGAGGAAACTCCAATCTTTACAAGACTTTGTATAGGGTTTTTCAGTTTTTAACGGCATAAGTGTGAAGTGAAAAACGAGGAAATCAGCTGATCCAAGGAAAAGTTGCATACCTCTTCTACCTAAATACAATGTATATAGGGTTAGAGTTGAGGTAGTTATCACTAACCTTCTCATCAGCAGCAGTGAGGGCCTTGAAATCAACAATGAATTTGTGAATACTCCTTTCCTGTCTCTCCAGGAACAGACGCACCAGAACCATTGTAAAATACTTGTTGACTACTGCCTTATCCCTGATGGAGAAAATGCATGATACATTTTATCCGTGTCCATATATGTCTTATGAAGAAAGCAATGTTCAAAACCTACCAACACTAGTAATAATCACAGGATGCGCTGATCTTTAGCTACTGCAAAAAACTGGTCTCATGACCTGACGAACAGGGGTAATAATTGTGAAGCGCTTTGATACCTTCTGTATAAAAATTATTATTATTATTTGTGAATCACATTTATGGATCACACAAATGAGCTACAATGATCTCCTTTTAGGAAAATAATATAAAACCATTACAGTACAATTGTCTGCTTTGATGTAGTCCATGGTGTTGCCTACGAGTGGGGAAATGGTACAGAGTTCTTGTCAAGTGCTCTATATTTATTAACGTCACCACAAGTCATCACGTCTCACATGCATCCCGTTACAAGCAACTCAGACAAACACAACTGCTATTACATGTGACTTTCTGTTTCACTTGTGATCAGCCTGTTATTTGACATGGGATCAGCCTGTTATTTGACATGGGGTCAGCCTGTTTTTTGACATGTGATCGGCCTGTTATTTGACATGTGATCAGCCTGTTGTTTGACATGAGATCAGCCTGCTATTAGATATGTGATCGGCCTGTTATTTGACATGTGATCGGCCTGTTTTTTGGACATGTGATCGGCCTGTTATTTGACATGTGATCGGCCTGTTATTTGACCTGCAATCGGCCTGTTATTTGACATGTGACCGGCCTGTTATTTGACATGATCGGCCTGTTATTTGACATGTGATGAGATTAGCGGTTTGATTTGTGATTTACTTGTTTTTTATTTATTATAGACTGATACACTAGGCCCCACCCAGAGCGCACGAGGGCATTTCTACAACACAAACGCCTTCCCAATGCCTAACTGCATGTTCCAGCCATGTACGTCATGCAAGTTCACCCATGTCTGACTTGTGACGAATATTAATCAGTGCTGTGATTGGTCAGAACATCACAGGGTGTGGCAAAGTGGAGTGGTCATCTGATGAATTGACGTGATGAGGCGGGTGGTGAAGGATAACTCAGACACTCTCTCTTAATCAGTTCTGCACCGAAAGTGCATTTAAATCAAATGTATAAGAACAGATCTTGCAGTCCTGTTCAACTGACCTTTCCACTCTATCCAGCAGGCGCAGGAGATGAGCTCGGGAAGCGGCTAGCCCTTTACGGCTGCGCACCAGGTAGGCAATGTATGGGGCACGGTTCTCATAGTCCTCACTTAAGCAAGCCAGGAGCCTTCGACAGCTGTTCAAAGAGAGAGCGACCAAGAAGTTTTACAAATGCAAAGTGACCGACTGTCCGAGGCTATAAAGTGATCAGGTAAGGCAAGTCCAATTATTATCAGTACATTTAATAATTATATGACATGTATGATGTGATTTGATATTAAGGGAATAAATGTGTGCTTGGCCGGTTTAAACAAGTACGTTTAAAACCGGCTTGGGGCCAGGGCCCAATTTCATAGAGCTGCTTAAGCACAAAATTTGCTTAAGCACGAAAAGACATTGCTTAGTAAAATTAGGTTACCGGCCAAAACTCCATGTGATGTACATTGCTTGTGACTGGTATTTAGCTGTTGTTTACTTAGTATAACAATCGCATGGAGTTTTGGCCGGTAACATGATTTTATTAAGCAAGACATTTTTGTGCTTAAGCAAATTTTGTGCTTAAGCAGCTCTATGAAATTGGCCCCTGGTTGCCGATTGGCTCTCTACCAATAGGAATGGGTAAACTATCTCAGGTATTTATGACCTTTTGGTCAAAAAGCCAAAACAAGTCAAAAATTAAAAAGTTCCCACAATTTTGATTACCAATTTTACTTCACGTTTCTTTCAACACCCCTACAGCTATATGTTTATGGCATGTGCCTCTCAGGAGTAGTACTAAAAATCTCCTTATAATTGGCGTGCGTGGAGTGCGTACTGCGTGATGTGGTGCAGAATGCAGCAGTGCCGGTGTAGTGTGAAGTTAGGACTCTATGAAATAGGGACTCATTGGTACTACTGCACATGCGTAAGTGAAGATTGTGAATGTTCAACCAATAAGGGGGAAAAGGGACCGTTGGTGTTTTATCAACAATTTGAAACCACCCATGTGAAGTGCTCTCAACAAATAGGATTTGGGTAAACTGTCTTGGTATTTATGAATCATAGTCATATGTCCCTATAGAAATATCTTTACTGCACCCCAAAAAACCTTAATTGGGTGGCAATTGCAAGGGGATGATTACACAAATTTAATATTTTTCCTGAACATGTACACATACTTAGCCATGCATGTCGTTGTTAAATGCCACTCAATCATCAAATGTCTCACAAAAAACTTACTACTGAACATATTGAAGTGAATATTAACCTGTTAAAATCAAAAAGAAAACAACCCCAAATATTCACCCATCTCTGTCAAATGTCTGGACGCATCTCAAGGTTTCTCTCAGCTGCGCTATCAGGGCCCTGTCCTGCAGATTCATAGCCTCAGCAAGCTGGACTTTCAGGAATGCCACCAGCTCGTTCTCTGGGTAGCCAGTAGAGATGCCCAGGGCTAACTCAGCTGCTACGTGGTCAGGGATGCTGAAGTTGGTCAGCCAGGGCAGGCTGTGGACGTCGGCCGAGCGCAGGACAATGCGCAGCTTGCGCTTGGCGTCAATGAAGGCGTACGATTCGTCCAGGTTTTCGGGTTCCGAGGCGTCGGGCTGGTCCGAGGCCCCGCCCGAGTCGGGCTTGTCGCTGTGGCTACCGCTGGACTCTGTGGATGATTCTAAATTGCCCAGTTCTGCCATTGAAAATTCAAATGAAACACGGTTCAGTTTTCAGGGTCCGACCTATAAACTTTTTTGTTCACTAGCCAGCCGGGCTACTGAAACGGACTCTTAACTAGCCCGCAGGCATTTTCACTAGCACGCATGTTTTGTCTTATCTCAAATCCAAAATGGCGCATTTTCAGGCTCAATTCTGAGGCAATTTTGTCAGGGTTTTTGATTAACAGATCTAATAATTAAACCCCTTTAAAACAGTTGTTAAATTTAGACACAAATTGATGGGCTTTTCTTTCTGAATTTAATCATTTATTTCTTCCTGAGCGTTCATCTTTGCCGTATCCCAATAATTTTTCACTCGCCAGCCGGGCTAGTTAAAGAGGTTGTGGAATGCTCGAAGACATTTCCGTCATTTTTCGGGTATATGTAGCCTAAGGTGTGATGAAATAAAAACGACTATTGTTTCTGTCATAAAATGAGTACAAAAGGTACTTTTGAGAGCTGTTTTTCAAGTCCTGTTATACCTGTTTCGACCCGAACGTGCAATTTGTGTAAAAGTCGTCGTTGCGGGCAGCAAACAAAACACAGTAAATCGTGACGTAATAAACAGGACTCCCGATGCAGAGTAGCATAAACGAGTCCTGTTTATTACGTCACGATTTACTGTGTTTTGTTTGCTGCCCGCAACAACGACTTTTACACAAATTGCACGTTTGGGTCGAAACAGGACCTGAAAAATAGCTCTCAAAAGTAACCTTTGTACTCATTTCATGACAGAAACAATAGTCGTTTTTATTTCATCACACCTTAGGCTACATATACCCAAAAAATGACGGAAATGTCTTCGAGCATTCCACAACCTCTTTAAGGAATAGTTTGACTAGCCCGCCGCTGTTTTGACTAGCATTTGGCTAGCGGGCTGCTGCTAATTTCGAACCCTGGTTTTCATTTTGTCACAGATGATGAGCCAAGATTATCACACCAAGAACCTTATCGCACTGAATACCAATCAACAAGAAAGCTACAATAGCTACTGGATAACATGCAAACTAACACGAGTATGGTCCAACTCACCATGTCCCAAGTGGTCATTTTCCAGTTGTTCTGAAGACTGGGCCTTGCGCATCTCACGGTATTTCTCCAGAATGTCTTCGCTACTGGTTTCAGGCACCGAGGCTGCTTTCAGCCCATCATCTGCGTATAATGTGATCCAAAATATTTGGTTTTTCTGCATTCCTTGTGTGTCTAATAAAATAACCCCAACCCAACAAATAGCCAAATGGCATTTAAACTGGTTTATTTTTGTCAAAAAGTTTCCCACTTTTCATAAAGTGAACACCTTCAATTGCGCATGCAACCAACTTTATTCCCTTTCATTACCACATTGTTTATTGACTTGGCTCTGCCCAGGACCAAATTGTTTGCTTGGTCATGCTGAAATCACGAGAGCGTGAACAAAATGACAACAAGTCGAAAACTCACTTTTTTCAACCCAGATTTTCACTGCCAAGGAGTGATTAAAATCATAGGTGTTGTGTGGAAAGTTTGTTCCTTGAACCTTACTCTTTTATGTGATGTAACAATGAAGTCCATACGTGCAAATATAAGAATGTTTGTCCATCTGGTCCCATTTATCAAACTGCAAGCCATTTCACCACATGACCAAATGGCACTCCATACCTCAAATTGTGCGTGGATACTTCTGAAGCTCTTTTCTCAATTTTTTTTGTAATGGTAACACTATGAATAAACTGCACCATTAGAACGATCCGAAAACACTCTTTCTGCTGGTATATATGGTTGATGTATGGGCGGTTAAATATATCAACATGCCGCCTTTCTGAAAACTAGTGAATATATCTGTGTTGAGGGTGTTCTGTGTGTGGTTTCCTGGTCGACTAACGTCGCCCACGGGAATCAGCAGGGGGGTAGTTCTTGTCGACAAAAGTCGCCCAGGGTAAGGCAAGGGTTATACAAAGAAATGTACAAAAGTAACATTTGAAACTTTGCATGATGGTGGTATGACCAAGTGAAGGTTTTTGGTAACACCATGTAGAAATCCCTTTTTGGAAAGATGTGTGGTTCTGAAAATCTATGTAAGATTTTCAAAGTGAGAAAATGCGCCCAAGGTTGGGTGCATTGCAAAAATGGTGAAAAAGAGTTCATCCTTCTAATATTTACATGTTGTATGTACTTCTTTCTTTTAAATAAGCTCGTTATTCCAACTGTGAACTGAACATTAACCAGTGTCACAGCCGTCCAATCACAAGTCCAGGCACAAGAAACTCACCGATCAATTCACATGTTTTAAACAACTGGAATACCAAATAATTTTTTTGTCATTTGGGAGACACCTACATTTGTTTTTTAGAGTTAATAATAATTATAATAATATTAATTTGGGAGGCTAATCACCCTTACTGGCAGCTGGGATGCCGAATTGCGAAGGACGCGGCTACAACTTGGTTGGGCTGCTGGCACGTAAAGGCGCCTATGGCTGCCGGCAACATCGACCCATATATGACCACGGAGCACAGCCTGAGATTTAAAGTGTTTGATTTTACCGGAGGGAGGAAAACCGGAGGGCCTGGTGAAAAACCCTCATGGCACAGGAGAGAACCAACGCACAACTCTACTCACATGTGATCCGCGGCCAGGATTCGAACCGTGGTCACCTTGGTGAGAGGCGAGCGCTTTACGCACAAGCCATCCATGCCACCATAGTTGTCTCCCCGTGCCCAATGTTTTACCTTTAAATGAATGGTGCACCAAGGCCAGGTTTGGGATGATCTGTGCAGCTTCTGAGTGCTTCTTCTCCTGTTCCCAGTCTCTATCTCTCTCTCTGTCGTCCCGTTCCCCGGCGGGTCCGTGTTTCTTGCTGGGTTTTCTGGTCGATGCTAAACAAAAGGTGGAACAATAAAAGTCAGCTTCACCAAATCAACAGTGGAAATCTTTAACACAATATGGTATTATTACACCACTAAATGGTACATTTAGGAGACATGTTATCGTCATTCTTTCGAAGATAGGGAGACATCGGTTATTAGGGAGACGTTTTGATGTCTCCTAATGTCACAGCCCCCCTTTATAGGCAAACTTTTACTATCGCAACCGGGTCATATTTGTTGCTCGTGGTCTAATTAGTAAACGTATGGAAACTCCTAAAAAAAGGATGAGGGAATATTGGGTTAGGGCACTAATAAGTTTGAAAACTTGTGTGCACAAGTTTTATTATTATTATTAAATAATTTTGGAAATGAAACCAAGGATTCCTCAAAAGCCCCCAAGCACTGTAGCTAGCAAGCCTGAAGAAGCATGTAGAGAAGAGACAATGAGAAGCAATTACAGTTTTAGATGTGGGAGGAAAACTCCAGAATGATATTCTAGGGAAAACCCACGGAATCAGGCAGGGACTGAAAACCCATTCCAAATATTGACCCAGGCGAGAATCGAACCCGGGTCACAGCGTTGCAATGCAAGGATAGTACCGCTACGCCAACCCGACTCCCCTATAACAGCATTTTTTTCCCCACAAAATTTCTACCGTTACGAAATGACTGGGGAATTTGATGATCACTCACCTATTTTGTGTATTTGGCTGACTTTTTTCTTCAACCAGGATCTACTTTTATCACTATCCCCAACATCCTAGAAGATTTGGGAAGAAGGAACATGGCATTAGGGTATTAACAATGAACTGCTTGTATCATAATAAATGTGCAACAATATTTGGAACCTGTGGGCAACACTGATTCAAAACTTCAATTTGTGTGTAACCTGCATCAGCAAACAAACATAAAAAAACTAAACAGATGGCAAGAGTAATAGCTCTTCCTCATAAAACTATCAATTGTTTGTGTTTTTAAATGATCGGACATTTATTTTAATTCAATCTTCTGGTTCACTAGTACGGCTGGCTAATGAAGAAAAAAATGAAGGGCGAAACCTGGTATCAGTTAGACCACCAGGCCTTTAGTTGGTTTGAGCTCAGTGATGGATAAGTAGCCATACTTTGAGGTTTTTAATTCTTACTCACTAGTTTAGCTTTGCTTTCCTCTGATATATAAGATGCATCTGTGCTGTGAGACCTCTGGAACAAACTACTACTAGCTGGCTTCTGTTCCACCTCTGTGGAACCAGTCAGACCATAGCTGGAGCCTGACGACGTGCTGGGGAAGCTCTGGACCCTGCCGGGCTCCGCCTGATCTATCCCACTCCACTCATCTGATGTCCGACTGCCTATCTGAACGAGGAAATCCGGGGGTTTTGTGGAGCTCTCAATTGACGAGTTGAGGAAGGAGGCACTGCTGCTGCTACCAGTGCTGATGGAGCTGACAACTCGATGGGAAAGGTGCTCGCTGGAGTCCCCAGACACCACCCCGCTGTCTGTGTCCAGTGCCAAGGTTCTGTAAGACGTGCTCTGCTGCTGGGGCTGAAGAGTAAACAACGATTGGGACGTGTGGCTGACAGGAGCCGAAGGATCAAAGATAGTAGCAAATGGATTATTCAAGAGGTCCGGCTGGTATGGGCCTGGCTGAGACGACGGCGCTGTTGGCTCAAAAAAACCATGGTTGACATGAGAAAGACCGTCATGGCCAAGATCAAAAGGATTAGTCCGCTGTTGCCTCCCTTGGCTGCCATAATCGTGGTTCAGACCGTGACGTTCATTGTAGGGTACGTATCCAGTCGGTGTCTGGCCTGCTGAGATCTTCTGAGCGGAATTGCTCCTTTTCTTTGGCTTGGCTCCCATTGGGGTGTCCCCTTGCCTTCCGATTGATGTTGGCAACGTGCTTGATGTTCCGGGACTCAGAGAGGAAAAGGGGTCAAAATCCTGCAAAAGGTCTTCTGGGGGCTTGCTGTCAGGTTTAGCCAACATGACTCTGCTTGGTTCGTTTCCATTGTTCAGGGTATGATTGTTCCCGTTTGCAACGGGATCAAACTGACTCAGGAAGCCAGGGAAGGGCCTGTCTGACAGAGGACCTTCCTTGGGTTGCTTTCTCTGCTTGTCTTCGACCAGGGGAGAGGAGCGTCTAAGAGGGAATTCGTCCTGCTGGAGGGGCTTCTTGGGGAAGGCCTCTTGATGGTCACTGTTGGATTGGGAGGAAGAACTACTTGACTGTCCCACGGGAGAGGAACCCTTCAGCATGGATGGATCCTCCATGGGATCAAAGTAGTGGCTGCTGGAGTCTTCTGTGGCATCTGAGCTCTAACAAAATGGCAAAATATCAACATAAAGTTATACCACCTGAAAGAAACTAACACAACGTTTAATAAGAAGTGTTCAAGTTTATGTCAGCAATATGTATCTCTTCTTCCCATCACTCTGTGGGGCCTACACTACTTGATACATCACAGTGAAGGTGAGTTTGGCAGTGCAAGTGCAGAGAGAACCACCATCATTTTTGCCCGCACCCAGGTCCAATGTATCCCACTTAGGCCCCCTTTACACAGGGCCTGCGACCTTTGTACCACCTATGAGCGACCAAAAAAAGGCCAGGACACTCAATGGTTGCCTAAACCCAGAAAATGTAACTGCTCTCGCGATCCTTGTAAGCCTCCCTTGAACCACCAAAACTGCAATTCTCGGGTATTTTCATGTCGAGCTACGAGCGACCTGTGCGTCCACTGAGCCACTTGCCTGCCTCCCCTGTGCTTCCCCTGTGCAACCTACGACAACCAATGCCGAATGGAGGCACAGCGGTCGCCACAGACATCGTTCAATGCACGCTCTTGGTCGACCAGAGGAGGTACAACGGAGGCAGAAGCATATCGCCCAGATTGAAGGTAAAATTTGCAACAGAACGGCTCCATTACGTGGCGACCATTGGCCGACCATTGTGCATCCATTCTGCAACCACGGCAATGCTTGTGCCTCCCTTCTGCCTCATTTGAGCCACCTTTGAGCAACCAACTTCCTCGGCGACCTTTGTGCGACTGTTTTGAACATGTTCAAAAATTTACGGCGACCATGGCGTCCATGGCGATGTCTGAACATCCTGTGTACCACCTTTGAACGACCTAGGCAACCATTCGGCCTCCTTTGAGCCTCCAACGGCGACCTGGCAAGTTTTATGGTCGCACAAGGGAGGCACAAAGGTCGCAGCCCTGTGTAAAGGGGGTCTTAGAAAGGGAAGCCCATAATGCCTTTAATGAAAGCCTTTGTGTACTGACATGGATCTGTTCCCCCCCCCCCCCAAGTTATTTAGTGGATTTTAATAGCTTGACATATTTGTGTTTGGGGACAACATTCCTGTAGTTATTCTTACAGCATCTTTCTTGTTGGCCCCATCTTCCACACTTGGGCTATCTGAGGAGCTGCGTCTTGAGCTGGGTCCATCGCTGGTTTTGGATGATGTCCTGTCGGTGTCGGCCTCTAACAGGGAAGCCTGAAATAGATAATATCAAGATTATTTTGATTTACTCCTAGATTTGATATCAACTGTTCTCTGAATAGTTGAATACAATAGCCATAGAAACAGCCCATAGAGCTATATTAAATTACTAGAGTGCTTACTCGATATACAAAGCGATGCCTGCCGGGCGCATCCGTGTTTGTACACAACTGTGGAAAACTGAAAATTGTGTACGGCTTTAGTACGGCAATTTGTATATCTGCATTTGCATTCTATACAGGTGGTTATTGAAGCGGATACCCCCTAATCGAAACCGAAACGTTCTATTTTGCTCTGCGCAAACAATGCAAACGGGTGCGGATTCATCCGCTGCAGATGATTTTTGTTGTGACGTATTTTAACTGTAAGGATGCGCTTAAGTTGTTTGCGTATGTTGTAATTGCGCGTAGCATTTACATGTAGAGTACACTTTCAAAATTCACTCCATCTAATTTCATTACGTTCTACAAACACGCACACAAATTAAAATGTCTGTGCCCAGGACGGCTTCAAAGTATCTCCGTGCGTAAGAATGAGGAGTTAGCGCTCTAGTAATTTAATCTAGCTCTTTGTTATATTGTCTGATTGGATACTGTAATTTTATTAAGGGAATAAATGTGTGCTCGAGAGGTTTTAATCACTCTGTTTAAGACGGCTTAGAGTCTGGGTGCTGATAATTACCCGAGCCGGAGGCGAGGGTAATTATCAGCACCCAGACTCTAAGCGGTCTTAGACAGAGTGATTAATACCGACTGACCACATATTTATTCCCATTCATAAATACCTTTTCGGTCAAAAAAATATAATATTTCGGTCAAAAATCCAGATTTTGTTCAACAAGTTCCCTTCATGCTTTTTTAAACATCCCTCTAGCTAAATAATGGACTTTTCAGCTGGCGATTAAGATGTAAAAAAACCTTTTATGGAGATTGACGCGCTTGGCACGTTCTGTGCGATGTCGCGCAGAACGCACCTGGGGCGTTGCGTTTTGAATTTGAACTATAAAATTCTGACTCACTGGTAGTGTTGCGCATGCCTATGTGAGGATTGTGAACGTTCAACCAATAAAACGGTAAGAGGCACTGGATTTTTAGGAGTCCACATTTTATGTGACACTGGAAAAATGTTTAAGACCAGCTAGCCATGTCTTTATCATCCGTTTAAGACCGGCCACGTGACGGGCTCTCGACCAATAGGAATGGCTAAACTGTCTGAGGTATTTATGAATGGTCTATTAAAGACGGCCAAGAGTATGGACAATAAAAATGCACGTCAGTTGTTACACACTGAGGGTGATATCGCACTGCGTTCATTTGGTGTGTTGCCAGCGCGTGTGGAACCTGCCAACGCGCAATGAGAACTGCAAGGTGAAAAGGCACAAAAAGCCGACACAGTTACCCAAGCCAGATATTCAGGGTTTTTTCGGGTCGGTTCGGTTCAGGTCGGTTTTCCTTGAATTTTTGTTGGGTCGGGTCGGGTCGGTTTTAGAGAGTCAGTTCCGTTTCAGTTTGGATTTGGTTTATATCTATAATGTTTCAGGTCGGTTAAACCTGGTCAACCCAACTGTTGTGTATCAGGGTCAGTTTGACCTGGTCAACCCAACCTGATGCACAAAACACTAGTCCAAAGTGTAGCCGTAGCCAAACATGCCAGTTTCACACACGGCCTGATCAAAACATTAGGGTTCGTTCAGTGACGGCCATCTCTGTAAGAGAACTGCAACTGCATATTTTACGCAATCAAGCACGCATTGCGCAGTGTTGAAAATGTTCCAAACACGCGCGCTTGTTGCTCGAAATGTGTTCGAAATACGACGCAGCCGATGCGCGTTATGCAAGTTGACGCTCAAAATGCGGATGCACGTGGCCACGAGTGGATGATCTGTAGGAAATGACGTCATTTGAAAGAGCCCTTTACCTGGATAGCCTCTTCGTGAGCCACATCCTCCACCTCCTGCATCCTGTCCTCCGTGCGCTCTGAGTCGCTCTGCAGGACGTCCACGCTCCAGGTCTCGCTGGCCGTCTCCGAGATGTCGGGTACCGAGTGCCTGATGCCCAGCAGGGAGGCGGCCTGGGCACCGGCCAGCTCAATGTCCTCCTGGGATTCCGCTATCTCCTGCAGACGCTCGATGGTGTTGGGCTCCGAGGGAGGCTCCGAGGTGTCGCTGCCGATGACTTCCGTGCTCCAGGTCTCGCTAAAGGTTTCTTTGTTCGACAAAGACAAAACGGAAAACTGTTCCTACATCCATTTGTGATGGGATCAAGCTAAACGAGTCGTTTGTCTGCAATTATGATTGTAAGATACAGCCCAAAATAGGTCTGTAGGGTTGAAATTTAAAAATTGACTTTTTTTTGTAAAATCGGAAGGCTACATATGTCCTCTTTCATGTCAACTACTTTTTTTCCGAGAAAAACTCATGATAAAGTAGTTAAAATGTGAAATTTTTGCTAAGGAGTTCAATATTCAATAACCTGAAATAAAACAGGTTTATTGCTGCTTAATAAACACTTCAATTTTGATTTTTCTGTTTTCTTCTTTCTGATCTGCATGTGTTCTAAGCGCCATAATTTCTGAATAGAAAGTCGTATTCACATGGAGTTTTCACCAAATATAAACTGCAAGATAGCTCTTCTGTTCAAAAATGTAAAAAAATTAAATTTAACAAAATCGATAAGGGCCAACAAACGACTCATTTAGCTTGATCGGATCACATTTATTAACCTTTTTACAAGCTACGCTTTGTCCTAACCCTAACCCTCTAGGGTATTTTGGCTAGAAACCCTGCGAAAAGCAGCAACATGCAACACTTGCGAGTCTAAATAACAAGCCTGCACAGTGTAGCAAGATCCATCAGGTCAAAAGTCTCAAGGCCAAACTGCCTCAGAGTCTGTGGTCACCAACTGCAGCAGGATACAACTGTGGCATTGCCCAATGGGACTAGCTCTCATTGTTTCAGAACTGGCCGTTTGTGCAGTGTTGTTGATGGCTGAATGCAACAAAGTGCACCACACTTTTCCACCTGATGCACCGTGTTGAGTCTGGCACGGTTAGGGTCAAGGCTTATTTCCTGGAGTTGCAAAGCACAGAAATCTGCTAATAAGCTCGCTACAAAATGCCACCAAATTGTGACAGGTTTTCAGTTCAACACGGGTGAGATTGAGGGAAACTGAAAAACCCATGATCTCATCAGCAGAGGGTTTGAGGGTCACTGAGGGCCCCGGAGCAACATAGGGTCCATGGTATATGCTTGTATTTGCCTAATAGCCTTTTCTTTTGCTCTACAGTACATGTATGTCCCCCCAAAAAGCGTCTGTCTGTCTTTGAAATAACTACAACACCACAAAGCAAATTTTGAAATGTTTTAATTGTGCTAATACTCCTTATCCTTGGCATAAATCCCTACGAGTTTCATTTTATTTCCATCACGCATCACCGCACAATGGTCAATTGATCACAACATCATCTTTGGACACTGTGACCAAGTTCCTTGCCTTAATCAATTTCAGTGCTGTGTTATGGAAGCTGTGTAAAATACTTCATGTTGTGAAAAAGGGCCGCGGTTGGGGATTGGAATCTTTTGCCTGGCCAATAGTCACCATGGCAATACCTCAGCTTCATGCTCAAGGGCAAGGGATTCTAATCCCCAACCATATCAGCCCTTTTTCACAACATGAAAGATTTTGCACAGTTTACATTCTATAGGTAGAGTAATGAGCAATTTTCAAAATGGCTGCCATTGCTTGTTATTCTACCTATATTTTTTCAAAGGACAAATCTGCGATGGCCGTACAGCCAATATATATTTTGTTATGACATACTCTGACTGTGTGCCAAATGTCATTCTTGTGTCGTCAAAGGCACAATCCCATCACCTATCTGCTGTAATAAAAGTGGTCCTGCATGGTTCACTCTATCCACATCCAACCAACCTACCAGGATTTCCCTGTGCTTTCTTCTTCTCCAGGGCGTCGCCGATCTCAAACTTGCCAAAGCGGTCCGTGATGTTGGCATTATTGGGCAGCTGGGTGGAGTCGATCAAGTCGGGACGGTTGTGGTCCGTCGAGCTGCTTCCCAAGCTGACCGCTGACCGGGGAGTGTTACGACCGCTCAAGTTGCTGGCCATCTCGCCCTCGAGATCCATGGAATATTCTGATGCCACTAAAGCGTAAGCAAAGGTAGCTGATATTATGTCATTATGATATCTGTGCAGGGTATGCTCGACCCATTTTCATCTAAATATGCATAAATCTGTAACATGGGCAACAGGCTCAGAGCAGCCATGTTCAGAGGCTAGTTAAAAAATAATAATGCGGTGCTTATGCAAACGTATAGCGCTTTATACTGGGTCTCAAAGCGCTTCACAATTATTACCCCTGTTCATCAGGCCATTGGACTATTTTTCTTTCTGCAGCAGCTCGAGATCAGTGCAATCTGGTATCTACCTGCACAGGTATCCATTGATACTCCTGGGTGGAGAGGGGCAATTGCAGTAAAGTGTCTTGCCCAAGAACACTTGTAAGCACCATGTTCCCCATCAGTGTTCGAACCAAATACCACGGCACATGAGTTGAACACCTAAAAAGTACACGCCAGGTCCAAAATCCATGGTGCTACTAAGTACATGATATTCTGCTGCACTTTGTGCAAGATGGTTGTTATTGTAAAAGTCAAAGTATGCATGTATTTAGGACATGCTTGGGGCTGGTTGTACTGTGAAGAAGTGTGGTCACTTAACGCTAACCGCCATGAATCCTTCAAAATCCTCTTTGCCAAAGTGGAGGAATTAGGAGGATTGAGGTTACATGGCAAAAGTGAGTTACTGATTTCGTAGGATGCACTTTGTCAAGGTCTTGGGCCGGACCTCGAGTTGTTTTTGCTCAGCCATGCAGAAATATAGGCCTGGATTATGCTTGAAATCCTCCATACTGCTCCAGGATGTCACTGGCCAAGGGTCAACAAACTGACAGTCACTGCCGCAGGATTTTGCAGGATTCAGGCAGTGGTCACCCCTCCACGGACCATATTCAAGAAATAATGGAGGAATTTGCAGGATTGAGGCTATATGCTTTTTTCCCAGGAGGCCAGTTGGAGGATTTTGCAGGATGGAGGCTACATCCTAGCTAAAAGGCCTAGGGAGTTAGCGGTTAGGGTTAATGGTATGTGTCCCACGTCCTCTTCACCAAAAATGCACTACGTACATCAGCAACTCGAGTGGAAAGCCTTGTAGGCAATACTCACCTATAGACATAGCTTCCATGAGATGGTCACTGTTTGCCGACGCATCGGCATCGTCTGAGAATCGTAGCTGTTTCTCTGGCTGTTCACTGATGGCGGCCAGACTGCTCTGGGCTGCCGTGGGACTGATTTTGGGCTTAGGGCGGGAGGGATTAGAACTCAACACCTGCACAGGATATAAAAAAGAATCTGGGTGAGTTCCTTCTTTTTTTTTCATTCTGACGGCGACATCTCAGAACTAGAAAAGTTTGAAGCTGATGAAAATCTAACCATCAAATAATAATAATAATAATCAGCATTTAAGAACGCTCTTATTAGTAAACTAAATCACAGCGCTTACAGTATTATTATTAAATAACCACAGAAGGAAAACCGGCATGTAGATCAATTAATCCTAACTCCCTAGCATGATTTACTAGAAGCCATACCCATCCTGGCAAATTCCAACACCATATGGGAAACTGCACACACATATTTCTGACATCGATTCTGGAGGTGTGCCAACCCAATGTAAAAAACTGTACCCAACCTGACAGATTCCAACAAAACATGCCGTTGGGGGTTGATGGGTTGAGTTCTTTAGGGTGAATATTCTGCATAATCATGCCAAACAAGGGCCAAATTTCAGGGAAATGCTAAGCGGAAAATATTGCAAATGCAATGAAGATCAATTTTTTGCATAATCGTGTCAAACAAGGAACACATTTTGTGGAAATGTAAACCAAAAAAAATAGCTCATCGCTTTTTGTGCTAAGCAAAAATTAACTGAGAACCGGTCCCAAGCATTATACATTGCATTGATAACCAATTGCTGTGCTGTTCCATGAAATCGGCCACTTGTGTTGGATTTTTGAGGATATGTGCTGGTTAATTAAAAACAGACAGTCACAAAGTCAATCCTGTTCCCCTGCCACGGCTTTTACACAGGCTAGTCACCAACAGTCAGATCATACCCAATAGGCACTGTGAGTAGTCAAATTCCATCAACAGACAAAAAGCAAGCAAATGATAGGCACAGCTGGCTTATCAATCTCCTGCAGTCAAAGCACGGCTATATCAGGTTTCATAACTATCACAGCCAGTCAATCCTGCTTTACGACGGCAGGGAGCACTCAACTGTGAAAAACAGTCGCTTGATTTATTTTGACTGTTGGACTTGCGCTGTTGAATTTGCCAGCCTGATAGAGGGAGGGTTTTAAGGGTTAATTCACAGACCAGTGTTCTCCAACTTTGAAAGTTAAAGGTCGGTGCGCCGTCAAACAGCAGGGGGGAGGGGGGGGGGGGGGGGGCTGGGGGGGGGGGGGGGGGGGCTGGGGGGGGGGGCTGGGGGGGGCGGCTATAATTATGTTAGGGGCGCTATTTGCAGTCATACATTTCTTTATGCTACCGCGCTAGGGGGCGCTATTTGCAGATGAACATGTAATTTGTGTAAGGATAACAGCTTTTAAACCATTTCTAACACTAACAATTAAGTACAATACTGGCTCAGCATCATCTTTTTTAACACATCAGTGACCAGGGACTCTGTGGCAGTTTGGCCTTCAGACTTTTGACCTGATTGGTTGCTACAATGGGCAGGCTTGTCAGTTTGACAAATGTTCAATGTTACTGCTTTCGGCAGAGTTTCTGGCCAAAATATACCCTGGAGGGTAAGGGTAGTCCCACTTGTTTGTCTTTTTTATTATTTTTTCCTTTTTTTTTTAAGCATGGCGTGCAATTTTTTAAGCTTAGCCGCAGCTTTTGAAGCTTGGCCGGTGCCTCAGAAAGCTTGGCGGGGCACCAGGTTATTTATACATGTTGGAGAACACCGACAGACATGTTGGAAATGGGGGTCTATTTTGTGGTATCACATTATTTTTTGACAAAGAATTTGAGAGTTTCAAAAGTGTTAAGCAAACCAAGTTTTGAAGTTTGCAAGTTTGAATGTACATTGTAAACATCATAATACCTTAGCCTCAGAGAGCATTCCAGGGCATTCATTTCCCTGGGTCCCAAATGTCACCACCAGCACATCCTCTGGTTGGGGTACCGGTGGAGTATCGGGCGTCAAGGATGTGTCCAGCCCTTCATCCTCGTCTTGGGTGTTTTGGTTTGTCTTTACTGAACTGCCGTGGGATTTCTTCGACCCTGAAACAGGAGTAACCATCAGGTCTATTTTCACTTTGAACATACAACTGTGACTTACAAGTACGGGTACATGATGATACACAATCAAAATGAACTTGGTAACAATCATTGAATCTTCCAAGCTGCCCAGTTATAATCGAGCTAGCCCTTCCAAAATATTCCTCAACGTTTCCTCTACTATTTTTGTCACAATGAGCTCCGTGCACAAGTACCCCCTTCGACGGCCAGAAAAGGAGAGTTGGGGGAGATCTAGACTGGTTCTCGGTCCATTTACTGCGTATTATGAATGATCCAAAGTTATTGAGGGCGGGGTAGTAGTCTTGGAGACCATCACAGTTAAATTTGGATGTATTCGCACGCCGACGACGCCTGATGATGCTCACGCGCGAAGACGCTATGGCTTAGTTTTGTGCACATTCAGGATAAATAAACGTGCCTACTTCGCGCGCAAACCTGTACAGTAAGTACACACAGTGTCCCGTCCAAGGGGCTCTCGAAAGTGGTAAAAACGCGCCCTCTTTGGTTGGCTCACGGAGCCGATACGGAGTTGTAAGCTGTATTACCGGGACTACAGACATTTAAATTTCCCTTCTGCAATGCATTGTACATGATGGATAAAAAAAACGAAACCGAGATATTATTGCTAATTGGAACAGAAGTAGGGCACATGTGAATCAAAGGGAGATATCCTCTGTTAAGGTTGAATCTCCTCTTTAAAACGACACCCTGATCATGTCCTTACATTCACAGTTGACTGAGCAGTGACCAATTTTATAAAAGGGTCTATTTAGAGACTTGCGCCTCTTTTCAATCGTGGTTTTTGTGGTGTCAATTGTCACAGAGTGAAAGGCTATGGTTGCCAATCAAGGCAGGTGGGATAAAAAAATAAGAGATTTCACCATGAAAAGTGGCGCAATTCTTTCAATAGACCCTTTCATAAATTTGGTCACTGCTCAGTAAACCGTGAATGTAAGGACATGATCAGGGTGTCATTTTAAAGAAAATATTCAACCCTCACTGAATATCCCCTTTGATTCACATGTGCCCTACTTCTGTTCCAATTAGCAATATGTCGGTTTCGTTTTTTTCTTTTTTATCCACCCTGTACATGTGTACTGAAGGCTCCCGATCAACAAATAAAGTTGGGTTCAAATTCCCCTCTGTTTATGTTCCGCTCATGCATCAAACATTATTATCAGCAAAGTATTAGGCAGGGCTATCCACGTTTGAATGATTTAGTGTCTGATTATTCCAAACTGCACTTGACCGAATATTTGAATTTTTGAAACTTCAAGATTTACGCCATGCATGCAGCTACCTTCCTCACTGTTCAAAAGTTGCAAACACAAAGCGCTGCGGTTACAACTTGCATGCAGCCATGGATATATGTGGCGATGGATATTTATGTGCAGTAAATACTGTAAATGAATGCAATGATGTAGGCTCCGCATTCAATTGGTCTTGCAATGCCCATTGAAAATTTTGCTAAGTGCAACTTTTAGCTTTGGGGTTTCAGGAGCTTCAGTGCTTGCGCTCTCGTTATTTCTTACACAGTGTTCCCAAGTGAGGCATCAAATTGAACCGGAAAGTTCACTGAGAAATGTCCAAACAATGATGATTATAATAACTGCTTAGTTTCTTTTTTGTGCCAGGTGTACGTACACGCATATGTAATTGCCAGGTCTTAGATGGGGTGAGATGGCCTAGCGGTTAAGAACACTTGACTCATGCTCTGGTGTTTCAGAGCAAACAGTGGCGTGGGTTCAAGCCCAGGCCCGGACACTTGTGCCCTTGAGCAAGGCACTTAACCACTATTGCTTCGTCCTTCGGATGGGACGTAAAGCTGTAGGTCCCGTGTGTTGTATAATGCACGTAAAAGAACCCAGCAAACACTTATCGCTAAGAGAAGGGGTTTGCCACGGTGTTTCTGGCAGTTATCCTCATACAAACAGTATGCGGCTGTATGCGATAGCCACACCAGGCGTTTGTACAGAAGCTAACAGATACAGATATTGAAAACAGCAGTTGTTACCTGGTACTCGTAACATTGTTAACACATGAATTTTCATGGGAGCTAAATGAAACTTCACCTTTTATCACACTACCTGTCTTCTTGGCGATGGGCCCATGCCCGCTGGGGGCCTTGGGTGAAAGGGCAATCTGAGGGGTGACGCTAGCCCCAGGCGTGGAAGCAGAGGTGTGGGGAAGATTGGACAAAAGGGTATCCAGCTCCTTCAGCATGGATTCATTGGGGTTGGCTGTGGATACCATGCGAAAGAATGACACCTACGATGTCAAACAGAAGAAGACAAAGAGGAAAAAAGTGGTAATTTAAATCATCATTTCAAAACATATCAGATTAATCTCTTGCAAGTTGAACTCCTTGCAAGCTCTTGTTTTGTCATAAAAATATTTCAAGGATTTCACATAAGCACATAAATATGAATACATTTATAAAGGTACACACATGTACACACCCATACACGTTTGTTTATGGTGTAAATCGAGGCTTTTCTTTGTTTCTCTTCCCTTTTCTTTTGTTCGTACTCTAAACTTTTCGCAACAGCTCTCATTGGTTTTGTACACATTTCACCAATGATGTTGCACGTGTGCGTCCGCGATTTACACCATAAACAAACGCACATGTACATTATATGTACATGTATGTATGCATTAATTACCACTTAGTGCATGATACAGTGTATTAACTGTGTCTCTTCTCGACCTCTATTTGAAAAAAAAAAAATTGTTAAACCTCTGTTCACAGTCAGACTGTGTAATTTGATCACACTCTAAAAATGGGTGGCAGGAAAGTTAATAAATTCATACATGTAATGCTCCAAACAATGTTGTAAATATTCGAACCAAAAAGCCAGCCGTCCCCAGAAAGCTCGGTAGTCCAGCATGTCCAGTGGTACGATGTCTGCACTAGTTCGAGTCCCACCTGAGTGATTTTTCCTCAAAATCACTCGGAACAACAATGACTACATGTATATAGTGTTTATGACAATACATTGAATTTACATCACCCCAATACAAATTCCACCTTGTGAATAGTTTGGTTGCGGAACCCGCTACTAATTCAGATTCGAACCAGCTACCCGACCCAAGCACGGTGGTCGGGTGGTAAGATGTCTGCACTAGTACGCAGTCCTGATGTCGTGGGTTCGAGTCCCACCCAATTGATTTTTTTTCTCACAATCACCCGGGACAACACTGAGTATACAGTGTTTATAAAAATATGTTGAAGGGCAAAACCCAATACAGGGTGATTAAAAATTAACGAAACCAAAATGTTGGGACCATTGTTTTAGTGAAGTTCTGCATGTAGCACTTTCAAAAATCTAGGATATGAAAGCCCAATTCATAAGCTTTTTTTTAGTACAAGAATCATTCAAATCACTTATGTACTTTTCAAGTTACTGAGTTTTAAACACGGATCACAAAAAGTTCAGTGTTCTTTCAACAAAACGAAAACAAATCACATAAGGATGTACATGTACATGTATGTGATTTGTTTTCGTTTTGCATAAAGAACGCACACCTTTTTTTGCGATCCGTGGACAGAACTTTAAAACGGTGGTTGTGTTTAAAACTCTGTAACTTGAAAAGTACATGGGTGATTGGAATGATTCTTGTACTAAAAGAAAGCTTATAAATTTGGCTTTCATATCCTAGATTTTGAAAGTGCTACATGCAGAACTTCACTAAAACAATGGTCCCAACATTTGGTGTTTTTTTTTTTCACTCAGCCTGTATTAATTGTAAACGTGACCATAATCTCACCATAGTATGTATCTCCGACTCGGTGATCAGCGCACAGGTCCTGGTCATCCCTTGCAGTTGACTAACGCCGGGGGGCGTGTCCGATGAGCTCAAGCTGTCAATCAGTGTGTCCAGGAATGAAGACATACAACCCTTCAGTCACATGGGGGAAGGGGGAGGGGTAAGCAGAATGTCACACATGCACAGAGTGAGTCATGATTAGAAACTGTCCTATTTTTATAAATGTTGATCTGGGGAACTTTTCACCGGATGTTTATGTCGTACTGGGATTCGGTGGTGAAAACTACATTTTGCCAGCAGTGCTTGATGACTAAACGCTCACACAGTTTGTACTGTCTATGTAGTACCAATGCAGTAGCTCTGTTGATATGATTTACAAGGTTCTTGTACACTGCCAAATTTAAAGGCAATATGTAGCATTTGCAAACATCAAAAAACAAAACTACCAAATTATTCTGAAATACCTTACTTGACTGTAAGTGAATAATAGTCTCAAGCATCCTGTGAAATCATGGCACCTGGTGTGCTGTCATTTAAAGAAAAAGTGGGATTTTGTATCAATTTCCAACGATGGTCGGCCAACCATTGTTGGGGAAAAATGACTTTTGGTTCAAATACTGCCCCCAATTTACCAAATTTGGTTAGTCCAGATTATATTTGCAATCTATTACATGTACACTGTGAATGGGTACAGGTACAAGCCAGCTAGTCTGGTTCCCTGACCTGACAATTCCCTGTCGACCATAAATTGCCCCGTTTCATTTGAAGTAGGGTCAGGGAACCAGACTACAAGTATAGCATTTTTGTCTTGGTTTCCCCATCATCTACATGTACATGTACGTAAGCAGTCTACATGTATGAACACAAAACAGGTCAGTGTAACGATACATGTATTTGCTATAAAATACTAACCCCTAATCCATTCATTTCTGAGAATTACAGCAAAAGCAAATGTTGTATTACCTTTAACCCTTACCCTACTAGACCCTCCAACGCATGCCAATATGTGCCTCAAGAAAATCTCCTATGTTTTTTGCATGGCCCTCCAATATCTGCCATGTCATTTCAAGGGTAACTGGACAGGCACTCCAATACATGCCACAGAGAACAATGAGAGTCCTCTGATAACAAAGTGAGTGCCCCCAGCTGGTCAGTATCAGGCACCCTCCAGGGCCTCCAACTCCTGCCAATTGGAGCCTTCACTGTTAAGACAAACTATCTGCCAATAAACTGCAGCTGGAGGGCATTGGCATAACCAACTGACATGCAGTAAACTACCCTCAGAGAGTAAGGGTTAATACTGACCTGCATGTACAGGTTGCGAAGAAAATCTAATGTATGTACACAGCATGCATGTTTTAAGATGGGAAATTGAGAACATAAAGACTTAAATACATTTGAACTGTGATCAATAGAGGTATTGTACATTTGTGACGTGTTTTGTGAGACCCCTGTGATACAGTCCAGCTGATCAAGGTTCGAGTCCTGAGGTTAAAGACCTTGCCCACAACCCAAAACATCAAAGACCAAGAGTGAGTCTAAGGCCAAGAAGCAAAGTCCGAGACAGAGATAGAGACCAAGACCTGCAGTCATGATCAAGACGAGGGTGTAAATCAATGCCTGAGACCAAGACCAAAAGTCTGAGACTGAGACAAAGGCCAAGGGTTTAAGATGGAGGGCAAAATGAAGACCTAGAGACCCCAGATCTGAGTCTGAGACTGACAATGAGACTTGTATTCTGAGACCTAGACCAACATTCAGTCTAAGGCCGACACCAACACTGTGAGAATAAGACCGAGACCAAGACAGGTTGCAAGTCATCTTGACAAGACCAAGCATCTGAGCCCGAGACCAAGACTGAGACCATGTCCTGTGACCCGACAGCTTGATCAAGATCTAGGGGTCCAATACTGCGACTGCGACCATGACCCAAAGTCTGAGATAAAGGCCTGTGGTCTAAGCCTTGACCATGGCTATTGGGGTTATAAGACTAAGAACAATACCCAAAGCCTGAAACCAAGACAGAGAGCAAGACCTGTGGTCTGAGACCTTGACTACAACCAAGTGTCTGAGAATGAGACTGAGACCAAGACCTAATAAAGTTTGAGACCGGACCCAACATCTGAGCCAAAGACTAAGACTTGTTGTCTCAGACCTTCAGACTAAAGGTCTGAGACCAAGGCCAAGATCTGTGGTCTTAAGTTATACCTTGTTCAAGATCAAAGTAAAAAGATTTAAACAAAGAGCAAAAGGCTGAGCCCCTAACACAATTATTATACTCAATAAGCCTTTTCCTATACAATCACATACCTTTGGAAACCTGCTGTAGATATCATTGGTCTGTGCTGGTGTAGTTGAGCCATTGTTGGTCTCCATAGCCAGACCCTGTAGAATTGCTCCCACTTGCATGAGATTGAATCGAGCAGTTGAGCTGATCATGATGTCCGTGATGACGCCATAGGATTCCGGATTTACAATCACCGGACAAATGAAGAAATTCATGAGGAGGTCTGCGCAGGTGGCTCTGACCTCCGATGGCTCCACCCGCCCAGACTTGATGAGGATCTTGTGGAGCTGGGTGATGATCCAGTCAAGGCTCTGCGGGAAGCAATAAGTGTTATTCCTCAGCCCGTTGATGAAGCGATTACACATAGACACCTGCTGGGTGATGATGGACTCCAGGTGAGCTTGCAGACACTGGCGGTACTCCTCCGTTCCCGGAGTGCCAAATCGCTGTTCCCGTTCCTCCGGGGTGAAGTGGTCCAAAGCCTTCTGAGGATCGGTCTCTAACTGGACATCGTCGTCCATTAGGACAGACATGATAGGTTCGTGGAGGGCTGCAGTCAGGTACAGCCTGGTTGAGAAGAGACCTTCCGTGAATAGTCGGAAGGCATAGCTGATGGCACACGTCCCGCGTCTGATCAACCGTCGCGGATCGTCCACGCTAGCTAACTGTTGCTCCATGAGATACTGAAGCAGATGTAAGACCTGCTGCTCGTCCTCCTGCACGATGCAATTGCCGTAGACTGCAGACATGACGGAGCGGACCACTCCCCTGGTCATCTCCATTTGCTCCTTCTCCCCCAGGACGAGACACAAGGCCACGACTCTTGGGTTGTCACGCAGGTACCCAAGGAACTCCCCATACAGAGCGTCCTGGAAGTAAAGATGGGAATTCGATTAGGTGAGTTATGTCAAACTTACACCCTTCTCTACAATGTTTTACAAACACTTAGCAGAGGATGTCACTTAAAGGGAATGTACATCATTGGCTTTTGCTGTAATTTTCAGAAATGAACAATTTGAGGGGTTAGTATAATTAATAGATCAAATATTGTTTAACTGACATGTTTGAAGTTTTGTGTTCGAAAATGCTTGAAAAACCAAGAAAAACAAAAAGGTATAAGTAGTCTGGTTCCCTGACTCCACTAAAGATAAAATGGATCAATTTATAGATGTCGGAAAATTGTAAGGTAAGTTAACCAGTCTAGCTGGCCTGCACCCGTTCATGAACATGTAACCAATAGAAAACAAAATTTGGACTGAAAAAAAAAAAATTGTAAATTTGAAGCAGTAGTTGAAAAACAGTGAGGTTTTTCCAATGGTGGTCGGCCGACTACCTTTGGAAATGTATACAAAAATACCATATTCTTGAAAACGACTTGACACCAGGTGCCATAATTTTACAGGCTGTTTAGACTGTCATTTACCAACATCCTAGTTACATGTAGGTGTTTCATAAAAACTTGGTAGTTTTATTTTTCGATGTTTGCAAATGTTGTATATTCCCTTTAACAGGATGAATGTACACGTACATATGTATGTGTTGCATGCAGGAGAGGCACTAAACACTGATTTTGGCCCCATCGCAGAAACTTTCAATGAATTAACTCAAATGATATACAATGTAGTACCTGCTGCTTAAATCAAGTACTGATTTTCTTAGATCAAGTACTTACATACGTGTATGTACTGAAGAAAATGTGTACATTGTAACTTTAACGGTAATAATAGGTTTATGGACATCCTTGATCTTGAATACATTAAAAGTTTGACCACAAATTGGGTCAACCCTCCTCATTCCTCCAAAGTCCTCCGGGTAGTTTTGGAGAATTCTGGAGGATTAAGGCTGAATGCAATATACAATTTTGGAGGATTGTGGAGCATTGAGGGCATGTGGACATTTAGTACCGGTTGATTTTGGAGGATTGAGGATAAATGGTGTTTGAAGAAGAGGAGGGTTTTGGAGGATGGAGGACATGCATTTTGAGAGACAGGACTGTTGGAGGATTGTGAAGGATTGAGGCACTGGGCATCTTACATTTGTACATTTGAACACGAGTGCAGAATTTTTGAGGATTTTGGAGGATTGAGATGGTTCATAGCAAAAAGAACCTAGGGGGTTAGGGTGAATACAAGGTCTCACTTTTGCAACTTTGGTACCATTTGGGAAAATTTCTAAGCAGAACTTTCTTTTTTACATTTTTACCTATTAACACCTAGCTGCACTACATGTGTACATTGTATTACATTGTGTTTATTCATTGAAGAATCAAATAAAATTATAGAGTGCTTGGGCGGTTTCAGGCACTTCAGTGACTTACAAGTTACAGGATAATGAGTAAAAGCCACATCCCTACCTGGAAGCCCAGATGCTTGTAGCTGTCGACGAAGGAGCACTTCTCCAAAGCGTTGGCCCGGTGGCAGCAGTAGTTTGGCGGGGCTTCCACCCTGGTCAGTGTCAGGCTGTTGAGGGTCTGGCGCTGCTGCTGCGTAATCCAGGACACCCGGAAGAGCTTGTCCGCCAGCTGGGTGACCTCCTCGTGAAGCTGGACCAAGAGCTGTTTCTCGGACAAGACAAAGAGGTGCTCCTGCTTGAGGTGCCGGGCCAGCTCCATGAGCTCGCGACATGCTGATGAGGTGCTTGTGGCCATGGTGGCAATCACTAGACGATGACTTGTAGGGATAGGGGATTAACGAGAGTTCAATCCCTTAAAGCTTGATGTACATGTACATGTGTGGACCTCATTAGTATGCATTTTTCCTGAAAAAAAATATAATGACGTTATATCATGATGTCACTTTATACAAAACCATACACAAATTTCTTACTGACAAAAAACAGACAATATATTTTGAATGTCATGACAAAGTCATTTTTTCCCCAAAATATTCTGTTCATAACTTCCACTGAACCCTGCTCAACAGGATCTTACTAGGTCACATACCCGATGGAGCCTGTTGGATTGAGCAGTTAACCCCTTGTGTACATTCCTAATGCAAAATGTTGGATTCAATTAACAGGCAACTGAACCACATTATAACGCATTGTTGGACTCCGTTGGATTCAGCAGACAACTGAAAATGAGGCACAGTGGATTGAACAGGAAAGTCCGGTTGGACTCTGTTGGATTTAGCAGGGTAGTCCTGAGGAAGCACTAGGGGGTTAGATTTTTAGCCAATGTACGTGTATACATACATTTACATACAATGTACATTATGTACCATGACAAATTCTAATAACATCTATTGCTACCCTCAACTTCTCTTATAGCATTATGCATTTGGTCAAATCCATGTACATACTGTACATGTATGTATGTTTCACCTCAATCGTAATTATGCATGGTTCTGATCTTTGTACACGGCCATAAGGCTTAAGTCATAAGTGCAGTTTTAATTTAAACTGATAAAATACAGCATCAGATATGTCAGAGTTCAAGTATACATGAAACTTACCTTTATGAATGTACTTTCCAAATTTGACAATCAAATTATCAATCTTGCATTACATCGCCCACCCCCAAAAAATATCCATTTATTATAAATTCTGAAGACTACATAGCTACTAGAACCTGGATCCCACAATGTATAATACATTGCATATGGGCTAAATTACATGTAAATCAGCCAATTCTGGTCAAAATCATTGATTGATGAAAACCAATTGTTTGTAGGAGATTGATGTACATGTAGGCCCCTACTGATGGTTCGCAACACATGTACATTATGTGTATGTATGTATAGCACACCTGCTTATGGGCTTACATACATATATGTACCAATGGAAATAATCATGTATATTTATTGCATATTATATACCCTGCATGTACAATGTATTGCAGCCTGTGCACATGAATTCACACACAATAAACTTAAAAATGTAAAGGTGGTACAATGTTAATGTATCAGTTTGCATACACTGGAATGACATGTACATGAATAGTACTACATGTGTATTTATAAGCTAAATGTACTGTACGTATTCAACAGAGCCAAAACTGCCATTAATCGATCATGCCAAATTTTAGTGAGTCAACTACAGTACAGTACAAAGTACATGTACATGCACATATGTACCAGTACATGTACATGTACTTTCCTGTAAGTAAACTGCAAACAATTAAACCTGTACATGTACACATGTACATGTATAAGTACGTATGTACATGTATTGTACTCATACAACCTGAACCACACATGTACATGTACATGTACATTGATAACTCACCCATCCAATCAGTTCCCCTGCTAACCCACGATAGGATGTGTGAGTGACAAATACCTCGGATATCCTGTGCAAGATTATAACAATGTTTTGTTTTTTCTTTCCTCTTTTTTTTTCCTGGGGTCCAGGCCATTGGTCCAATTCCAATGAGTCATTCATATCAACTCTCAGCCAAACTTCAGTCAAAGCCCAGGGTTCCAGACTACATGTATATCTATAGAGAAAGTGAAAGCTGAATTTAACAAGCTGTAATAAGTTCACTGTGCATGTCAATGCCAATTGTTATATGACATGTATCAGTAGAAATTTATAACAGGAAATGCTCTGCATAGTACACGCACGTAGCAGCAATCACTGTGCAAATGAGCTTCGTCTTTATTGTTTTACATGAACAAGAATAACAAATTAGCACTGCAAACTGCGTACTGACTGGATTAACCTGGAATAAATGCAAATCAAAAAATTAGAGAGGCCTATTATTTCACACACAAAAATCTGTACGCTAGGCATAAGTTAGCTCTATTCGCTACTATGAGACGGGGGCTTTAGCAAGGACTTCTTCAGAGCAGGCATGCAACTGGGAAGTTGTACAAAAAGAGGAAATTCAAAGTTGTCAAAGACTTTGTACACTGTTTTTCTGTTTTCAATGGCACACATGGGAAGTGAAAAAAGAGGAAATCAGCTGATCCGAGGAAAAGTTGCATGCCTGTCAGAGGCAAATGACAGATCTACATATGTAGGAACAAGAAACAAACATGTACATGTAGACACACGTTTGTTTCGTGTTCCTGTGATGGGGTAGTATCACCCGTTATCCACGGAGCAAGTCTCCTGTATAACGTCTGATATGTCTAGACATGCAGATAGCAAGCCGCGGGCCAGCCAATCGGAGTCGACTTTACTAAATCGTGACGTTGTTTCATTCCTAAATCAGGACTAAATGGTTTGATCGGTCAATTTGAATGCAGTGTTTTGTAATACAACAGCCGGGCGCGATATCGCGTAACCTGATACAGAGCGCGTGACACTTTTATTTTTTATCCATTGTCTATGACGCGCAAATGGTGAATGACCGAAGACCCGATATAGAAAGCGCCCGCTGATTGGTTAAAATCTAGGAGGTCAAGAGGCGGGGTCTTGCCTAATTAATCAGCGAATCTGTTCACGCATAATAGATGACATACTACATGTGGGGCTGTTAAGGTCAAGTATCTGATACAATTGTGCACTTTGTGACTAAAGCAATGAAACTTCGCATGTTGGTTCTTCATGACAGAAAGAAAGTTTTCCGATGTGGACTTTATATTTGAGAGGTCAATGACCTTTACATGTACATGTATCTATTTATAACAGCTGTTCTTGAAAACACCACTTTTCTATGACCCAAGTCTACGTCATACATGTACATGCAGTCTTCAGGCCATGCAAATAATGATCTGAGATGTGACGACACAAACAAATGACCCCTGGTGACCTTTCAGAGGTCAATGACCTTTATATACCGTATTTTCTGTTATTTGTAAGATTTACACTTTAAACCCCAAAGTTTTCAAGACCAAACTTTAAAGAGCCACACTTACAATTCATTCAACTTGTTCACATTATTTTTGTGTGCTTTAACAAATATTTATAACCTGCGACATTATTTGGTAAAGCAATGTATACAAAATGTACGCACCTGTATGTAAACATTTTGATGCACTCGTGCAATTCATAAGTTAAATAAATCATTTACATGTACACGTACATTGTACATGCATCAGACTGGGACCTTATAGTGCTCAAAACGATGCAAAAGAAGATCAGGCCAACTTTACTCCCTCTTTAGCCAGCAAATTTCTCCAAAACTGTCATTGGGCAAAGAAAAGTTCCTCAGTATTTCACCAACTAAGTTTGAAAACTCAATTATTTTTTTTAAGGAGACTTTGCTTCAATATTTGGCAGTGGCTTGCACATGAGAGGGAAGTCAAGTGATTTCAAAATAAGGCTAAAGGCTAGACTTCTACATGTCCATCCATGGTCCAACTGTTTGACAAGACTGACAGCTTTATTCCTTGTCATTAGTCTGGTGCCTAATAACTACATAGAAATAAGATTGAATTTTTGCGTCGGGGTGATATAAATCAAATTAGGTTTTGCCCTTCACCGACGTTTTTTAAACACTGTAGGCCTATACTCAGTGTGTTACCTCCCGAGTGAAAGTTGGAAAAATCACTCGGGTGGGACTCGAACCCACGACCTCCTGCTTTCTAGTGCAGATGTCTTACCACTCGACCACCCGAGTGGTCGAGTGGTAAGACATAGAAATAGTAACCTTGTACCCGACATCCTAAATGCTTTTTTTTTTGGCACAGTCAGTTGACAGTTTTTTGATGCAGTACTGAAAAGTTGTTGGACTGGTTGTTTCAGAAGCCAGTCTATTTTCTTGTAAGTTGTATTGCATGTTTTCAATACCTTAAGTTTTGGCACTCTCGTACACAGTATTGAGAGTCAAAAATTGTCTGACTTGGACCTGGGGTGCTCTGAAACACGCAAAACGAAATCATGCCAACTTTACTCACTCTTTAGCCAGCAAATTTCTCCAAAAATTCCATTGGGCAACAAAAAAGTCCTCAGTATTTCACCAACCAAGATTGCAGACTCAATTCAATTTTTAAAGGAGACATTTCTTCAATAATTTGCACATGAGAGGGAAGTCAAGTGCTTTCAAAAAAAGGCTAAAGACTAGACTGGTACATGTCCAACCATGGTCCAACTACAAAGACTGACCTCTTCATTCAGTGTCATTAGTCTGGTGGCTGCGCTGGCTGATGGCGCATGATGTCACGTGGAAGCGGATTACCCGACGACTGTTTCATGCACGATAACCGGCAAACTTTGGTTGCCGTCCAGTATCGCAGCTATGATGCGAGTGGTAAACCTCAACAGTCGTCGGGTATTCCGCTTCCGCATTAGTGACATCATGCGCCATCAGCCAGCGCAGCCGGCAAGAACGAACTGGTAAATGCGCTGTGCACAAATCCAATCGCGGGCCTCGCCATGACCGCACGGTTGTCGGTTTATGCCTATTTTAGTATTAATTATCTCAGAAAAAAATGTTGCAACCTGATGCCACATCCGCAATTGTGCACAAAGTCTATGGAGAGTCACGAAAAAATGCTATGTAGGCCTATTTCCTAACAAAATTTGAAATGTTTCTCAGTCCCAGATTCATGTCTCATCATCATTTTTGCAATGAATGACCTTCATGTTAATCATGGCGATGATAAGCCTATGTGAAGCAAAAAGTGGTGTCAGGTTGCAACATTTTTCCATTATGTCAATGAAGGTCAGTCATTACTGCAACTGCAAGAAAGTTGAAAAGACATGAATCTGGGACTGAGCATGCTGAGTGAGAAACATTTCTAATTTCTGTGACTAGCAAGTAGCATGACTATAGTGAGTAGTGTGAGAATAGCCTTCTTTAAAAAAAAAAAAGGCCTTCCAATAATGCCTGGAGATCACTTGACACCCTGTGCACAAAACCCCATGATGAGGCTGGTATGAAAAAGTGTTTTCTCAGTAAATGCTTCGTCCATGTTTGATCAAATTTCAATTTTCATTCATTTCATTCCAATTCCATTCGATTCACACAAACAACTTAACTCAATACTCAACTAGGCCTAGTTCGGTTAATCACAAGCACAGCTTACCAATTTTATGGCTCCAAATCAGTTCCTCATACGACCAAGAAAACTAAATACATAATAACGCAGGGGATGTAGCATCTAAATGAGGGAAAAGCAGGATTTATTGATGGAATATTGTCGCCGTCTGTCACTGTTTATCCGCCATCATGTCGATCCATGTACTAAAACGAAACGCCCCCTAACGACTTGCTGCTGCCAATATTATAATGGCGCGTACCGATGTCCGAGACGGCCGTTGATATCAACGACTATGGCTACACACTGCATTGAATTGAAGTCGAAGTCACAAAATATACCCAATTCTCACACGGCTGATGAACTGTCCACATGCTGTCCGCGCAAACGTTGGCGCGCTCTGCAGATGTGTAGGACTAGACTGTAGGGGTCTAAATCAACTCGTGATTTAGATCAAATTTTAGGCAAGATCGTGACCGACAGGTCCAAAGCACCAAAGTTGGCAGATATATTTTTATATCCCTCAAGAAGATTTTTAGGAGGTGACACGTAAAATTCTTTTGGAATACTTTTTGCATACATAATCGTAAAAAAAGCTGCCGTGTAACATGTGTTCCCATATTTTGGTATATTTTTTTTATTTTTTTATTTTTTTTAAAGTCTGTTTTTGGGGGATTCTAACTTACACATCCTTTAATACTTTAATAACATTTTATGAAGCATATAAGTGACTGGATACATATGATGACATAGGAAAGATCCAAAATGGCTGCCATTATACCCTAGTTGCAAGTATTTATCGTTTCCCAAGATTAACATCAAGTCTAGTACATTCTTGCCAAACCTCAGTATTGATGCTCTTCAGTTGTGCTTACTGGCACAGTTACAACAATAAAACTATATGGAAAATAATGTAAACAGTGATATTGATATAAACATCATGATATTAAGCCCAGAAAAAAAAGGTGTCCGTAAATTGGGCAAAAAAAGGTTTGCCATACGTCGATGGTAGACTTGAACAGGTTTAAAAGATATCCCCAAATTTGACATGTAAAAAAAAAGTTTAACGTATAATAGACATGATTATTATAAACAACTTTAATCTCTATATTTTTTTTTGGTTGGGGGGGGGGGATTTCTTTGAACTTGTTCAAAACCCCCACGTCTACGGTCAGTACGGTAAACCCCTCGCCTATTAATGTTTAGCCCAATAAATAACTTTGTGAATCTTAAGCTCATCAATAATGATGTTTGGCAAGCTATTTGATGATATTTAGGACATGGTAAATGAGTGCAACTTTAGGGTATAATGGTAGCCGTTTTTGGATATTTCGTTATTATCCCCCGTAATGGAGACTTTAGTTGGGACGTTGGTGGCAGCAAACACACGGTTCTTTTTCCATTGTTTGCGTCATATTAGAAAAGGATTGGTGTGTTGCTGCCACCAACGCCTAAAAGTCTAAATATAGGCCTACCAAAATATGGGAATAAATGTATTACACGGAGGCTATTTACGACTTACGCAAATTAGGCACCCTTCCCATGAGAATTTCACGTGCCACCCCTTCTAGGCCTAAATATGTTCTCTAGGGCTATAAGAATCTATCTGCCAAGTTAAGCGCTTTGGACCAGTCGGTCACGATTTCGACCATATGCAACCAGCTGACTATGTTATAATGGCACCATTCCCTAGACCTAGCGACAAGAAAAGATTAATTTTCCCAAGCTAAAGGAGCTGCTTAGATCTGACCTAGTGACGTAATGGCTTTGTTGACATGTGCGCTTTCCTGTGGGAGCGAAGTCGGGACGCCAGACGAAGTAGGGACGGTCTGTCACTAGAAAGCACACTTGTAAACAAAGCGTGACGTCATTAGGTCTCAGACCTATCACAATTAGACAAACAAACAAAATTCCCTCGTAAATATTTGTAAACGGTTCAGTAGTTTGATAAAAATTATGAGGTAAGGGAAACTTGCTAGAATGTTCAACAGTCAGCCTGGCGCGATGCCAGTTCCGGCCGAAAGACGCGCGACGCAAACAATGGGGTGAGCTGTAAGTAAGACCGAATGTAGAAAAGAGTTATGTAACAGCATTCATGATTGTGAATAGCGCGCGCATCTTTCGCGCCCCTAAGAAAAACCAAGTAACTTTCCCACTGCGGAAATAAGGATTATGTTTTTAACGCAAAGAGAAAACCACTAACTGACTATAGCCTAGTGGTTAAGCTGTCTGACAGCGGACCCAGGGTTGGGGGTTCGAGTCCACTCGGTGTCATTTTTTGGTTTTCCGCACAGGTGGTTTTGTCATTTAATTTAAGAGTTTTAATTTCCCGTCGTCATTCACCAACAGCAGTTAGCTCGGTCGGTCGGTAAGCTGACTCACAAGTTGGGACTGTCTGCGAAGTCCAGGTTGGCGTCTGCGTATAGGTACGGGGTTCTTTTGCTGACTCGGCAGCAAGGCTTAGGGTGCCACCTCGTTTCCTCCCTTTATGGTGCCTGACTTTCGAGTTACATGGATGGACAGGGAAGGAGGTGTGGTGGGCCGGGTACCGAGTCCCGGAAGAGTTCTATATGGAAGTCGGTAAGGGGCTCATTGAGTTAGGGTCATAAGTCCGACTCCTGAAGACTTGGCCATCGCCACATAACTTTTTGTTTTATTTTCTTTCTTTTTTGCTATCCGAGGGCAATTGCAAGAATGATTCATTTATTATATTGAGAGCTTGTACTGTATAATCGTTCGAAATCTATTTTAAAAATCGCTCGAAAAATAATAAAGCATATAACATAACAAATCAAAACAACTCAAAGAATATAATTATGCAGCCTGCTTAACCTTGTGTGAAATGCAATCATTGCAAATAAATAAAGATTTGGCACCAACGACACTGAATGTCTAAACATTAATGTAGTACCCTATCAGGTTCCGCGTATTTTGCCACTATAGCACTAGACAATTCGTAATGACAGAAATATAGCCTAAATGTCCCTGTCTGATCAGAAGAATAAAATTAATGGTTGTCATCCATCGTGGTTGTTGTAATTATACAGTAAGTGTATTTTTTTATGTGTTTTATGATTCGGAAGGATTCTTTTATGTTTGCAAAATGAAGGAATGAATGAATAAATGGTTCGTGGGTGATTACGCCCTCTCGCGGCGGCGGGTTATCGTGAATCCAATATTCACAACAACGTCTTTTAGCTCAAGACTAAAAGAAATGCGATAAATCGTGCATCGGGCGCAAATCGTCCCAACTCACGGGCGTCGCTAGACCATTTTGAATGGAGGGGGTGCCATCACGAAATTTGCCGACGAACCGTCATGCAAAATAAGTGTAATTGATAATTTCTGCCCAAAATGATCCCTTTAACTTCATTTCTAATTTGGTTAATAATGTTGATTACTTTGAATGGAGTACATTTGGGATCAGTTCAACTTCAAAAGATTCGGCTCTATACCATATTGACAAGTTTTGGACATTTGCCCGTGGCAAACTGCGTGTACACGCTCAGTACGTGTGCGCATACCATGTTCAGGCCCGTTCCCTAGCTGATCCCAGACTGGGTGGGGGATCTTTAAATCCTAAAGTGGAACTTTTTGCGAGCGCGGAGCGCGAAGCCCTGAAGGCGTGGGGTCCAGGGCCAATTACAGTCCCGGGAATTTGCACTGTAGATGCTGTCTGGTGTCATCTGAGGCATTTCCTGGCCACTCCCATACGCGTAGCCAGCGGGGGGGGGGGGGGGGGGGGGGGGGGGGGGGGGGGGGGGTGTTAGGTTTTGTTTACCCCCGCCCCAATATTTTGTATAGACTGCCCTTTTCCATTCAAATGCCCTTTTCCCATCAGCGCTTACCTCCCCCCAATATCTTGTAAAGAGTGCCCTTTTTTAATAAGTGCCCTTTTGTTCTGAACACTGAGTGCCCTTTTTCTAAAGGGAAATGTGCCCTTTTTTTGTGCCATCGGCCGTTTCGGGTGCCTTTTTTTTCTTACGCAAGTATCGCCCTGTAAAGCACCATTATATTGTCCGCTAGTGTACATAATCGTCGGTTTGAAAGAGCGCCCTATATCGACGTTGAAACCAGCCCCTCACCCCCACCCCGCTTTTTGATTTTACGGAGGCCAAGTGTCCCGAGAAAAAACGTGTCTACATTTCACAACGGATGTGCAAGTGCCCTTTTCAAAAAAATGTTAACCCACCCCCCTTCCAATAAACATGACCTTGCCACGCCACTGCTTCCCCTGACTTTTTGAATGAAATGTGTTCGAGTTAAGGGAGATGGGGATGGGTCATCAAAGTTGATATATTATCACGTCATATAAACATCACATCAAAACTGTAGCAATTGACTCTCTTTCGAGATTTGCCCTCTTTAGCTTGATCCATGATTTTGAGTCATCACTAAGAATCAGCTCAATTCGTAACTGCCTGCGAGCGAGCATGTGCTTGTATTTTACTCTGATCTCTATTATATACTAATAATACTATTATAGAGATCAGTGGTCAACGCCTGTAAATGAAGCGACCTCGCGCGGCAGCTCGTGTCGACATGACAGAATGTACAATCTGTCGCCATGGGTTGCGGGATTTTTAGCATAGCAGCGGTGTTTATTATTTACATTCTCCATTTTTTCTTCTTCCTTCTTCCTTTCCCTTTCCTTCTCCATTCTTCATTTTCTATTTTACCGACAGCACCATAATTTTGCCGCCAAAACAGTCTGATGGGGGGTGTGACGCCCCACACACCCAAGTGTGTATTTGCCTACAATCGGGGACCTCTATTGTCCCTCTTTTGTTTGTACACTAACTTTTCAGGAAGGCCTCCCATATGTTTTGTATACGATCGGAGATTGGGGACCTTCGGGAATTGAGGACCCTATTGTCCTGCACAGTTCAACGTCCCCTATATATTGAATGCAGAAACAAACTCACAACCCCTGCCCCCATAGCGACGCCCGAGTCGCAACTATAGGTGGTGTCAAAATTGCTAAAAGACTGTGCTATACTATAAGCAATGTATATGGATTGCTCCATGCTATGCTCCATGCTAAGCCTTCCACACCAGCAGGCTGTGTGATGGCTTCTGCTCATGATGTCCTGCCAAACACTTCTGACAGAGAGATGTCTCTCGATCTGCAGTCCGTTCGGAGACAGTCTAGCCATTTCTTTGTTGGTCTTCCTCTTGATCTTGTCCCCTCGTATGCTATTTCTGGGTATATGTCGCTTCCCATTCTCGTGACGT